CTTGCAGAGAGGGACCTATGCTTAGCATCTGCCTTGAGACTATCCTCCTTGATAACCCTGCTGGAGCTGATTACAGGAACTCTGGGGGATGGAGGATACACACTGCAGAGGATACCCTAAGCTTGACAAGCTATGTATCTATGGGATGTGCCTTTCCCTCACATGGAAAAAATGTTGCTTTTTCCTTGGGGCAGGGAAGAATGGAATTATGTATCTTCAGTTTTGTGACTCTTGTATCAGCTGCAGATCACCATGAATCAACTTGACCTCTAGTCTCTAAGAACATAGATTAAATTATCAGTGAAGCATCATTATAAATAAGAGAGGGTATACAGTATTTTTTTTTCCCTCTTGCACTAACAAAAGCCAAAGGACCCAGCCTGGCTCAATGCCATAACATATCTAGAAGAACAGGTTTCAAAGGCTTGGGAAGGGGGACAGGGAAATGGGGACAACATAGAGGATCACCATTTAAGTGTTTGACTTCCATTGCCTGTACTGTGTGGGGAACGAGATCGTGAAGCTCTGAACGCCCAGCTTTTCTTGTTGTAGAAGCATTTCTAAATGGTGATATTTAGTTGCCTGAATTTCTGGGCAGAAGAAAGCTGGTGCAGACATCCTGGGATCTGCTGTTCTTGGATGTATATGGAGTGGTCCTCCTGAAGCTCAGTGTCATTGGGAGTTCTGAATGGAGGTGGCCAGAGAGAGTCATCAAGAAACTTGCAGAGGCCTTCTGCTCTGTTTCCATCACAGTTCAGCAGTTCTGGGGAGATGGGTGGAGGGGAGGTTGTTCTAGTAGTTACATATTTAAGGCAGGTGGCCGTTTTAAAATGTACATTTCAATTTTGATTGCAGTTTTTTAATTGCATTTAACAGCGTCCCTGCTGGTTCTCCATTCTGCATCCGTGCAGCCACGTTCTATTGATGGCCTGTTGTGATTTCAATGGAACATCATGGGATGTACCTGGCACGTCGGGCAGCACTGGATGGAGGTGCCTTTAGCCCAATGTACCTGGCATGGTAAGCGGCAACCAAGTGGTTAATCTGCATTCTACTGCTCGTAGTCTCAGCTTGTATAGCAAGGTGTTCCTGCTTTGCTGCAGCCTTGCACTGACTGGAAATCACTTTGCTCTCCTGATGTTAGTGCTTTCATGCACATAGGACCTCTACCCTTTTCACCCATGGAGATTCCCCTTCCCTGGGCAGTTTACCATGCAGTAGAGAAGGGCCTAGCTGTGTTGGGCTCTCCTTGGTATTCTAGAACAGGAAAGAGAAGGAACTGGGGAAATCATCTGACTTTTTTTCTTCTCTCCTTTTTGGGCCAGGAGCTGGTAGCAGTTGAGCATGTATTGCCCACATACCTAATGTCCAAATGTTGCCGCACAGAGGTATCAAACAGGTGCTTGTGTCCATAAGCAAAGCTATACTGTTTCTGTGGGAGTCCTGCAAGAGCTGCTTCAGGGAGCCGGGAGGGCAGTTCTGCCTGGCACCGATTGGAATGTAACAAACTAAACAAGGTCCACTTTAAGTTTGCTGATGTGGTATCCTCTGCAAAATGATCCTCCATTCTCCTTCTCTTTTCCATGTCCACACTTGCAACATCAGCTGCACATCCTGCTCTGCCCTGCATGTTGCTTTCTCTCCCTTCCCCAGCTTTGCAGACCTCTCCCTGAGTAACTTGACATGTTGGTCTTACCTATTTTGAAGTGAAAGATATTCCTGTGGGAAGAACGAGGGTGCTGCATCCTGTTTTCTGCTTAAGCCCACCTCAGACCTTTTGCTGCTCCATTGCCAATGATGAAAATGCATGTTCTTGCCTCTGTTTCTGAGTTCTGCTGTCTGCCTGCTCACGGGGGCTGGGGATAGGGAACCATTTGGGCTAACACAGGTCTTGCATTCCTCCCTATGCCTCTGCTGCTCTGGAATGTGAATACCTTTACAAGGCATGGGCTAATGACCTGCCAACTGCAGTTCCTGGGGGGAAGGTTAGTGGCCATGAAAGCCCACCTCACCCATACCTCCAGACAGTCCTGGAAGTAGGTTCTGTTGGGATGCCGGGAGAGGAAGATCAGCTGTGCCAGCGAGCAACAGGAAAGCTCTCTTCCCAGAGGAGTCTTCAAGTGCTCTAAAAAAGTTAGTTCATCTGAAACTGAAGGGTGGAGTAGTCATCTGTTTCAGTTTCACCCAGATCCAGTAGCAGCTGGACACAGCATTTTTAATGGCAGAAGTAAATTGGTGGGAAAGAGCAACGTAGGAAACAATTTAATGTTGTCTTGTTCTTCCCCATGGTCACTGCTGCAGTGTCTGCTCAGTGAAGCACAACTGCTTAGGAAGGTGGAGAAATAAGTAAGCAGGCCACTATCTTTTCCTAGGTATATTATAACATGCGCAGTAGGCTAATGCTTTAATGGCATCTAATTTGATACATCACATCTAATCTGTTTGTTGGTTTTTATCTGCAGTACTGTTAGTTCACTGTTCAGGTGCTCGGTGTCTAGCCTTCTCATCCATCCACAAATCCTCTACGTGAAATGAGTGATTCCTTATATCTGTTTTTGATTGATTCTTTGCTTCACTGGTGTTGCTTCTTAAAAGGTAAACAATATTCATATGCTGCAATCTATAACTCAGAGATGAAATCAAATAGCATCTCCTGCCAGAGGTTGCTAAGATAACACATTTAGCATTCATTCAGCAATTACTTTTAGGAAGAGATTTAGCAATATGAAAGAGAATCAAATCTGTAGTGAATATGTAGATTTTATACCATTTAAAGGGGTGAAGGGATTCCTCTTCTCCTGTACTTTGGCAATCTAATTTTCTGTGACGTCCAGAGTCTTCGTGGAAATTGAGACAAAATTAAGTTTTTCCTGCTTTGTAGTGAGAGCAGCACAGCTCCTGGAGCAGGCTGTGTGTTCTGCACAATCTTCAAGCCCACGGGATCAGTGTGCCCAGGCTGGGCACAGCAGCTTGCAGTTACCCAGCTCCTTGGGCAATATTGCTTATGAAGACGCTATCAGCTCTTCGCTTGCGAAGCTTTGATGTGTGGCATCTGCTTGCAGCATTACTGTATTCTGTGATTTGTGCCCTGTATTTTCATGTCGCTGCATGTGCTGTGTATCAGTGTCATGGATATGGTGGAGGTAGTGGACAGCCTCAGTCTTGCTTCATTCCCAACTTGCGCAAGAATACTTGAGCAGGTTTGTTGCTCTGAAAACTATGGGTCTTGAATGACTAGGAAGCAGCCTGAATCTGGAAACAGACCATCTCTAATGCTATTTGTCCAAAGCCTTCTCTGATCCTGTTTTAAATGCAAAGGAGTGAAATTTTGCACACCAAATTCAATGATAAAAGACTGTGGCCCCAGTGAGACATCTACATATTCCTGAGGTCTGGGGTTTGGTTTTTTTTTTTTACTAGAAATGCATCTGAGCTTTTTCTGAGCCAGGGCTCCTCTGAACTGGGAGTTTGTTTTTTCTATCTTTTTGCAGAAAACAGAAAAGGAAGGGTTCTTAAAAATGATACTGAGATACAAGAAATATAAACCACTGTGATTTTTCAGGGCTTTTGGGGGGCTTTTGTTGTCATTATTGGTGGTGGTGACGTTATCCAAATGTCCAGGGTTTGTTAAGAGCCAGCCTCTGCATATTAATGGATAGCAAGGCCTTTGTAAGGCTGCACCTGCCATTCGTTTGGGAAGATCTGCTATAACTTTTATATTGGACTTAACCTCATAGTTGTCTTTGGTCCCATGCTTTCAGCTAGCAGTGAGATCTTAGGAATTCTATAGATTAAGAAATAATGCTTGCTTCTCTTTCACTAACAAGTTTTCCAACACACCTCTCTTTGCCCACCTCTGAAATGCATCACTGCTAAAGAAGAGTTTGTAACTGCTTAGCTCTGGAACATATCTGGAATGGATTTATTTTTGTTCAGGACCGCACAAGATACACAAGCTAGGTTGATGCTATAAAGCTTTTGTCAACAAAGATACGTCAGTCAGAGGTGTGTTCTCTGACCCATGTTGCTGTCCTGGTAAAAGCCCTTGATGGGTAATTCTGGCAAAATTTTAAACATGGGGCTCTCAACTTGGCTGAAGGTTTTGCTGCCTTGTTCCATTACGTTAATTTTGTTGGGGTTGCCAGATCCATGTTAGACTTCAGCTAACAAATTCAGATTTGATAGGCAGTGTTATAGTGCTTAAACCTGATCACCACTTTTAAAAACTACTAAAGGCAATAATCTGCCTCATACTTACGTCCAACTGAACATGAATATTTATGTAAAATTTGACATGTGAGATAAATAGAGGTAATTTAAACAACTAGTACTGTGCTAATTTTTATGCTGCAGAACATACTGAGGTTTAATAACAACATTATCTTCCTCATGAAGGTCAGTAAAAAGCAGAACTATAATTCTACCCCTGTTTCCAGGGCTTTCCCTGCAGGCTCATTACCTGGTTTCAGTATCATTTAAGGCAGAAAGAAAAAAACAGAAGTAAAAATCGAAAAATATTTCCCATAAGTAGCTGCAGCAAGCCATGACTCTTCGCAAAGGCTTAGACAAACACATATACACAGATTTCTAGACCCCAGCTTCAAGTGCCACATGAATGGGAAATAAGCTTGCTTTCACTTCAGTAACATACTTTTATTCATTTTATTAGCCAGTTTAGACCAAAAAATATTGGCTGTGCGCTTTCCTTTCTTTTCCCATGTTTGTCCTTTATGGAACACTTAAAAACCACATCCAGGGATTTTGTGTGCTATGTGCATGGAGAAGTGCCATTATGTTTGTAGTGGAAATAGTGTAGTAGTAGCCTGTCTCTTGCTATTCTTGAGCAGGATGTGTTTATATATATAGGTGCTGCGTTATGTTGCAAGCCATGTTTTTGTCCTTCCCTATCAATATATCTTGGTGACCCAGAAGTAAGTGCTTTTACTGGCCTGGCTAGATAAAAGTGGGTATTTGGTGCCTCTGTGCTGTTGCTTCTTCCTCTTAATCAGCAATTCTGGAAGCAAGCCACTAGAACCAGACACATTGCCTGCATGCTGCAACTCTGATGTAACTAATTACAGCAAAACTTGTTTTTAAAGTGCTCAACACTGTTCAGCAGTGGTAATCCCTGTCTCTGTCACATTTCTGTGATGCTGCAGGGTGAGTTTCTATGACAGAAACACTATAAGTGAAGAACACTATAAGAGAAGAAATAACTGGCTAGCACCATGGCAAGCCTGTATTTCCTCCTTTTGGCTGCCACCCTTTCTAAAGCCTCTGGAAACAACATTAACTTGTGCAAAGGCACAGTGGTGAATCCACCGTCATCTTGGGTTCCCATCTATTGCTGAAACAATATAGAACAGAAAAGCAGAGCAGCCGTGTTAGCTGTGGGTCAAGGTGATGAGCCCCCGAGATCTGCATGGATGCTGAATTAGGTGCTGGTGCACTGAACAGGAGCCACAAAGTTCTACCAAATCCGTAACCAAATACCAGGCTGACCAGCTAACCAAGTGAAGAATTGTGTCCTGTGGAAAAAGGGAGGCACCTGCTTGGCAGATCTGTTGGTAAAAGTATAAGTACCAGGCTAGTCAAGCAGCAAAATTGGAGGAAAAATTGCATTTGTTTACTTTTTGATAGATTTTTCAGAAAGCAAAACCTTTTTGTTGTGCAGAAATGGATGATGTAGATTTACCACCTTTCTGCCAAATGCAATCTTTCTTTTTATCACCAGTTAGTAAGAATCAGGTTTGAGGGAGGTTATTCTTAATATTGACAGTATCACTCCTTATGTCTTTTCTCTTGTGTACACATACTTGACACAGAAGAAAGATAATGCAGTCTAACGCTTCATCATTTGAAATCTGATGGGACACAACATGGTAATGGCACTCACAAGCCAAAAAAAACATTAACTGATGATGACTTAAGAGAAAATTTAAGCTCTTAATTTCTATGGATTTATAGCCTGCTCCTCCTTCAATAAGAGAAATCTATTTCAATAGTAAGATGAACTGGGGAAGGAAGGGAGTGAAGGGCTAAAGGTGGCTGTTTGGTATTTAATTCCTGCATTTGAACCTCACAAACTATTTAAAATTAACTTTAACAGATAAATGCCCATTACAAGTAGTAGTTGGCACTTTCAAACAAAAAACTCAAGAAAAAAAGTTAAAAAATTGATCATGGATTCCTAAATGCAGCCTCAGCTTTAAATTCTAGGTTTTATGTATTGTAGCGTCTACCAAACGTACAATGGAAATTAGTACTGATGCGCCTCAAACTAGATACTGCATACAGTGCATACTACTGGAAAAGCCAATAGAAGTATCTAAAATACATTGTGAATACTCTTTGTGAAATACATGAAGTACACAGAGGTAACCACAACTTTCCTCTCTTCCCAGTACTTCAGGGTAGAAAGACTGTGACTTGAGATAGGTTACTTGACTCTATCAGTTTCAACAAAATTCCTTCAAAACTAAAGGCAGGGCAGAATTAACTTAAGAAAACAGTTTCAGACTGTTGAAGACATTCGGTGGCACTAGCTAGCTCAGCATTCTGAATTTCAGCCAGTTCAGGGTTGATTCTAGCCCTTAATGGCAATGGATTGGGATATGGACATTGCCGGGGGGGGTGGTTTTTAAAGCTGCCATTCATACTCTTAAGGAGATTTCCCATTCACACCTCAGTGTGATTGGATTTAGTTGTTACATGTCATTTTCTCAACCCCAGAGCAGCTGGGTGTTGTAAGATTTCAACATGTAAGAGCCAAGAAACAAACTACATGTTAAAGCAGGGAAGCTGCAGCTTATGCTAATTATTTTACATGCTCAGATATGCAAATGGCAGTGAAGTAGATGCTTCTTTATTCTTTTTTTCTTGCTTCTCATCCTCCCTTCAGATTTGTGTCAGGAAACAGCTTTCCCCTGTACCTAACTACTGTTTTCGTGCTGGTATCTTTTTAATAGTAATTCCAGCCAATGCTGATTGCTTTTGTAAAAAGAGATTTACACATCTGATTTTTGAAAGACTTGAATCAACTCTTAGCATGAGAAATACTTCTCTCTCTATTCCAAGCAGGATCACAGCTTGCAGGGCTAAATGTACCCAGAGCTCCTTAGTCATTGCTGAGCTTAACATTAACAAGACTGTGCCACGTTAACCTAGTCTATTAAATGTAGACTTGTTCGAGTGCGAACAGCAGGTTCACACCTCTCATCCTCCTGTTTTGCAGGTGGTAAGGTGAAGGTGAAAGGAAGAGAAGGTGGAGATGGAACTGCCAAATCATGCCAAACAACTGCTACTGCAGCTGAACCAGCAACGAGCCAAAGGTTTCCTCTGTGATGTGATCATTGTGGTAGAAAATGCCCTCTTTCGTGCCCATAAGAACATCCTGGCAGCCAGCAGCATGTATTTCAAATCCCTTGTCCTGCATGACAACCTGATTAACTTAGACACGGACATGGTGAACCCCACCGTGTTCCGGCAGATCTTAGACTTTATTTATACTGGTAAGCTCTTAACGACTGACCAGCCCGGTGAACAGAACTTTAATGCTCTCCTCACCGCAGCAAGCTACCTCCAACTGCACGACCTGGCAGCTCTCTGCAGAAAGAAGCTGAAGCGGAACAGCAAGTCCTTTGCTGGGAAGGCCGGTGGCCTTGGTGTTGGGAGATCTGCCAGGAGTCAGAGACTTTCCACTGCTTCGGTCATCCAAGCTCGCTATTCAGGGTCAAATGAGGGGTTGAAGGGCTCGCACTCAAAGGAACTGTCAAAGGGAAAGCTCTCCGATGACGAGGTCTTCATCAGCAGCTCCAACCAAGAGAACTGTCACTCCTTAAGCAGGGGAGCCAGTAAGAATGGCGGTGGGGGCAGCAGTGCGAATGGGAGCACTGGTGACCAGGAGCTAGGCCTCGACCTGTCCAAAAAAAGCCCGTCACTCCCTGTTGCAGCCTCCCACGATGACACACAGCACAGTGAAAGCCAGCATGGCTCTCCCCAATCTGCCTCAGCCCCCGCAGCCAACAGTGCCTCATCGTTTGACGAGTCTGGAGTCGGAGCCCCTCATAGCATGGCGGACAGCAGCGACCCCATGGAGATGGATCTCAGTGAAGAGTGCCATCACTCATTGACAGAGAGCAGCCAGCGCAAGGGCCTCCGGCACTCATCCCGCAAGAAGGAATGGATCAAGAAAGACAACGCCTTTGACCGAAAGGAGGGGGGCAAAGATAGGGATGAGGGTGAAGGGCTGCCCAATGGTATCCTGCTGGGGCCCTTGTCCAAGTCTGTGGAGCGGAGTCTGGCTGGGGCCTATGGCGCAGACCTACCCTACCCATGTAAGGAGGAGGTAGAAAACGGTAAGGAGAACAGTGACGACAGTGGCCAGAGCGAGAGCGAGAGCGGCGGGCATACTAGTGCCAACTATGTCTACCGACAGGAGGGGTTTGAGCCAGTGGCCTACGGTGACAACCTGTACGTCTGTATCCCCTGCGGCAAAGGCTTCCCCAGCTCCGAGCAGCTCAATGCCCACGTGGAGACGCACACCGAGGAAGACCTTTACATCAAGGAGGAAGGCACCTACGGCGGCAAGGACGAAGCCGAGGATTTGTCCAACCCCAACCAGTCCTATGCTGCAGAGTCCCGGCCCTTCAAGTGTTCAGTGTGCGAGAAGAGCTACAAGGATCCAGCCACGCTGCGACAGCATGAGAAGACTCACTGGCTGACACGGCCCTTCCCTTGCAACATCTGCGGCAAGATGTTTACGCAGCGGGGCACCATGACACGACACATGCGCAGCCACTTGGGGCTCAAGCCCTTTGCTTGCGAGGAATGCGGGATGCGCTTTACCCGGCAGTACCGACTGACAGAGCATATGCGTGTCCACTCAGGAGAAAAACCCTACGAATGTCAACTGTGTGGTGGGAAATTCACCCAGCAGCGCAATCTGATCAGCCACCTGCGAATGCATACCTCTCCCACATAAGCCAAAGACTCCAGAATGAGCTTCGAGCCCATCCGCAGTGATTTACCTTTCCGTAGACTTGCTGCTTAAAAAAAAAAAACAAACAAAAAGAAAAAAAAAAACAAACAAAAAAGGGGGCAACTCCCCATACTCTGTTCAGTCATGGGAGGCCTAAACAAATGTAGCTTTAACATTTAAAAAAAAAAGTTCCTTTTTTCCCTTTTTTTAAAAAAAAGAAAGGTCCACAGCCAAGCTGATGCATTTAGCCTAACTCTCCCTCCAAATCTTGGTGGTCTGGCAAGAAATGCCACTTCTTTTTGCGGACATCGACTTCATTGCCATATTGATTATCTGGAGCAGGTAGGGGGATCATGGGGAACTTTCGACCTCTGCTGGCTGCCCATTCCCCGCCTCTTTCCTTCACGTTACTGTCACCCTACTCACCTCCTCTCTTAAAACCAATTTCAGTAGGGGCATTTCTTGCCATTAAAAAGCAAATTCAGTACACCTTTTCAGTGGCCTAAGTAGCTGTGAAATAACGTAGCGTTGCATTCACAAGTGCGGAAGCTGTGTCTGTGGACCATCTCACAGAGTTGGCAGCCCCTTTGGATACTGTGGGAAAGCCATATCCGTGGTAGAACCCACCACCCTTCCCCTGGGCTGGCGATGGTGGGGAGAGCAGTCTACCTAGGTGTGCACCAGCCAGAAATGGCGATGCTTCCTCACCATCCCTCCCTCTTTTGGTTTTGATCTTTATCCTTGGCACACGTAACCACACGCCACCTTTTCCCACAAAACACACAAACCTCTTCTGCCTTACCCATGACTGAACAGGGACTGGATGCCCTGGGAATTTCTTTCAGTGAGCAGGGGGTCGTCTTTACTTTTCTAGTAGTTTCGTATGAATATTCTTTGCTTAGAGGTACTTGTTTTATTAAAGGAAAAACCATTGTAACGTTTATGTGAATGTTTGAACTGGAAGGTCTGAGGTTAATTCTAGGGTGGGTGGGCGGGGAGGGGGTTTGATGTAGGCTGGACTTGCTACAAGTTCCTTAGGTACTTTTTTATTATTTTTTATTTTATTTTTTGTGTGTGTGTATGTTTTTAGCTTTCCTCCCTCACTAAAGAGCAAGTCTGTGTGGACAGACTTGTTACCTTTGCTACCTCTTGAATTCATGAGAACAATAAGATGGTTAGTGAAAGATTAGGCATTTTTTTTTCTCTTATTGTAAGTAATTAAATGTATAAAAGTAGAAGCTAAATTAAAGTTAAGGGATTTTTACCACCCCGTCCTTCCATCAAAAGTCAGCTAGGGAAATGTTAAAGCAAAGCTCAGCCAAAGACAAAGCAAAAAATACGTTGAGCCAGAGGCTGTGCTGGCTGCCTGGGCTGGCTCATTCACAGTCTCTTGGCTGTTTGTAGTCACTTTCAGATAAAAGAAGAAAACTTCTCTGAGCTTTCTGGGCCCTTTCCAGTTTTGTTTATTGAATCTGGATACTATGGGGAGGGGAAAATGTCCCCCTCATCTTCCACTCCCCCAGCACATCTGGGTCAGTCTGTAAACACCTGGCAGGACAGAGGGTGAGGGCATAGCAGCCTATAATTTACTAGAATCCAGAGTGCAATAAGGTGGGGGAGAGGAGGAAAAAGCAAACCAAAGTGTTTCATATCCTCCCTTTTAGACAATTTAACACACGCACACAAAAAAAAAAAAAAAGAAAAATGAAAAGAAAAAGAAACAAAATGTTCTTGCAACATCTGCATAAGACATCACAGCCAACAGCTGCTATTGGTTTAGGAGAGAAGACAGAGAACTTAGCCCACCAATTCTTGGCCCTCTTGACTTTGTTGGCGTGACCTTGTGGAAAGCTATGGCTTATTTCAAGCCTCTCGTGACTGTGGTGGTAAAAATTCACAGCCAGTAGAATCATCCCTTCTGAATTGAGTAAGGTTTACACTTGTGTTTTTTCTTTTTTTTTTTTTTTTAATTCTCCACTCAATCCAGTATAGTCTCTATGTGTAAGGTTTACCAAACCTCACATTTTGTCTTTTTTAAAAAACAAAACCAATTTTTTTTAAGTTTTGACCAAAAAAGAAAAAAGAAAAAAAAAAAGAAAAAAGTGAGCATGTTTGACTAAAACAAAGAAATATAAGCTTCATTTTTCTATTGGGTTTTTTTTGTTTGTTTTTTGTTTTTGTTAAGGTAGACTAGTCCATAAGAAGTTTTTGGGTCAATTGAATGAACTGAGGAAACTGGAATCCAGGCTCCAAGCAATAGAGAACCCGAAGGCGCTGAGCCTTGGCCTGGTGTCTTGTTACAGGGAACACGCTTGCCCCTCTCGCCTACTGCGCTCCAGTGTGCTTCTCCCAGTGCCATTGTCTGCTTGCTCCCGGATGCCTGCGAGCTGTGGAGTGTGAGAGGGGAGCATGGACTTTAGGGGTTTTTTTTCTAATAATTGTGCTGAGATGCGCTGTTTTCTTTTGGGGCGTTGGGTGAGGTTTTAGTGTCTTTAGCACTTCTACATTTTGAATAGATATTGAATCTTTTCTCCTTGATTCCTTGCCAACCCCCCCACAAATGTCCCCAGAATAGTCTTTGGGGAGGACAGGGAAGGCCTTGCCATCTACCTTTTTCTCAGAGCAAGTCTCAGCAGGGCCCAGGGACAGCCGTGCAAGATTAGTTCCTAGGCGCTTTCACCCTTCCTTTACCTTCCCTCCAACCACCCTAAACCTGAGCTGCATCCCACACTGGCTTACGGTGCAGCCAGAGCAGGCTCCCCTTGCTGCCGGCTGGCTAAGGACCCATCAAGTTCAGATTTTCAAAACAACTCTTAGCTCCCTTAGTGAGAAGGGCATGGCCGGGGATGAGCCCTGCCCCCCGCTGCAGGTTTTGGATGCGGGTTTCCCCCGTTCACTTGTGGCCCTGCAGTTTGCTGAGACGGGGCCGCCACCGCGGCACGCAGCCAGCAAAGGGGACAGCAGGTGGGTGTCTGTGCAGAAGCCATCCTTGGGACAGCAGTTCAAGCTGTGACCAACTGAGCCGAGCGACAGAGCAGCCCAAGGAAGCAGTGAGCTCCTCAGTGGGCAAATAACCTGCTCCCCCTGGTTTAATTCCATTTTTACAAATGTGTGTGGGTGATGTAGCCTCTCCCCCCACCTCCAGGCCCCCTCTTCATTTGCTTCTTAATCCTCAAGAATCATGTTGAATTTTCAGGACCCAATGCTATTTTTAAAAAATTTTTTTTGGAGCATCTATTTTTTTTCCTTTATCCCCTCCCCAGCACTTAAACAATACGACATAAAGTCTGTGTACAGCAAGAGTATTGTACAAAAGGAAATTTTGTTCTTTTTTCAAGTAGCTGTGTAAAGTTGTGTTCCATAGATTGAGTATAAACAACATTTTCCAAATTGTGACAGTAATAATGAATAACTAATATTACTCAAAACTTCAGGGACTGTTTCAGGCCTGCTTGGGGCCTAAACACTCAACTGCATTTGTACGACATAGTATTGTATCAAACATTTTTCTGTATTTTAATGAGAAAGCAAAACACTAGTTTCATATTTAAGATTTTAAGAGTTTTAGGGTGGGGGGGAGGGAGTTGCATATTTGTTTTTTTTAATTTTATTTTAATTTTTTTTTAAATACACAAAGAGCCTCAAGAGGAATAAAACAATTTAAAAACAAACAAAAAGAAAAAAAAAGAGGCCAGGCAGCTTAAGTATATGCTTTAGTCACTTAGTTCCAGAATGTTTTCGGAATAACAGGAAAAAAAAAAAAGATAAAATAGCAAAAGTTGTATAAAAGAATAAAGAAGCTCATACCCAAATTCACAAAACTATTTTTTAAACCAAAGCACATTTGAATGAGTATGGAACCTCACTTGGCTCAGAAAAGTACTAATATATTTATCTCATTGTTTACATAAACTTTTACAGTTTCAGACCTCAACAGATCTAGGGGCCAGTCAAAATTAATCTTTGCTTTTTCCATTGGTTTGTCTCCAAAGGCTACGCAGCATTCCCCAGCTTGGGAGGGGAGATCTGTGTCCCAGCCTGCATTCTAGCACTGCTTGGGGAGGGTGGGGAGAGGGAGGGCAATTAGAAATATGGCATGTAGATGATATTTTTTTTTTTGTCTTCTACCCATGAGAAATATTGCTGGGAGTGAGACCCAGGCACTATTGCAGAGGCATTCCAGCCTACCTCTTCCTCAGAGGAGTCTGAGGGTACCAAGAGGGTAGAGAGAGATGTGAGAAGCTCTAGAGATAGAGAAGGATGTTGTCAGAAGATGGTGGGAGCTGCTGACCCAGCACATCTCCTTAACGTTAGCCACAGGGAGCTGGGCTGAGCTGCTTTCCAATCCTTTAACTGCAAAACCTCCAAAAATAAATTCCTGGAAAAAAAACCCAAAAGCCTAGCTCTGTGCATTTGGGGGAGTTAGCAGGAACCACAAAGATCACAGAAGACACCAAAGAGCTATTGACACGCAGCTTCTGTGAGACTTTGTGGCTGCTGACCTGGAAGAGTACGCACAACTCTGAACTGCCCCTCTGCGCCAGGCAGGGGCTGTCGCAGAGGTGGCTGATCTCCCTGTGCTGTCTGGGGTAGCTTTAATGGTCTGGTGTGGGGCAAGAGCACGGAGCTGCCGCCTCCTGTTCAGAGCTGTACTGTTCAGACCATCTGAGCCACCTTTTAATTAAACGAGCTGGAATGATTCACTCCAGACCTTACAGTCATGTGCAGAGCCCAACCAAAACTCCTAAGTCTTTCTTGGTGGAAACCTAAGCTTGATTTGCATGTTAGAACAGTCTAAAGATGACCAATGAAGATGGTTTGCTAAAATACTGCTGAAGCCAAAAAAAAAAAAAAAAAGTTTAAAAAAAAAGAAGCTCCTCATCATTAGTCTTGACCCTTTGTAGCTTTTACCTTCTACACCAAAGCCACCTCAAATATTTGAGGGGGGGCTGATGGAAAATGAAATATTAATTTTGCCTGGTCTTAATATCTAACAAAGATGGTGCAAACACTATTTGACAGTGTTGTTTTTGTATCAATATGTATGTGCAGTAATGAATGTATTTATTTCTCAGATTC